TGGGATTACAGGCGTGAGCCACCACACCTGGCTTTTTCAGAGATTTTAAGAGTGGTTTTTGGGGACTTTTTTCTTTTTTTTTTTTTGAGACAGAGTCTCACTCTGTCGCCCAGGCTGGAGTGCAGTGGCCGGATCTCAGCTCACTGCAAGCTCCGCCTCCCGGGTTCACGCCATAATCCTGCCTCTCAGCCTCCCTAGTAGCTGGGACTACAGGTGCCCGCCACCGCGCCCGGCTAGTTTTTTGTATTTTTTTAGTAGAGACAGGGTTTCACCGTGTTAGCCAGGATGGTCTCGATCTCCTGACCTTGTGATCCACCTGCCTTGGCCTCCCAAAGTGCTGGGATTACAGGGGTGAGCCACCACACCTGGCTTTTTCAGAGATTTTAAAGTGGTTTTTGGGGACTTTTAATCAGAACACCAGAGATTGTTTCAGGGCCTGGGGGTTGTTTCCGATCAAGAACAGAGCCAAGTCGGGTTCACTCTGAGCTCTGTGCTCAGCCACGGGCTACTGGGCCGTGAGTGGCTGTGAACTCCTGTAGTGAGCACTGTCCCTGGAGCCTGTAGACCTGGGGCCACTTATGCTGAAGCGCATCCGTGTGTGTCAGGTCAGGATGGAGCCGTCGATCCTGCAGAGGGGCCGGCAGCCAGCAGAACGTGTGCTCCTTCACAGTGGGTGGAGTGGAGAGCTGTTTGCTAAAATCCACCTGTTGGGGGGAAACAGTTTTGTAAAGCTGTTAAAACCCAAATTTTCATTTTGAAGAAGTGCTGTGTTGCATTTTAAACGCGCTGGTTTTTTAAGGAAGTAATTTTCTTAAGGCTGAGCATTACGTTTTTCCAGTTTGTTGTTAACTTTGCAACAGTGTCTTTGTGTGTCCTTTTTGCATCTGCTGACCTTCTCGGGGTGGGATTGGAAGTGGAGTTGTTGGGGGAGATGATTGTTGAGCCCTGGCGGCTGCCAGACAGCTGCCCAGAGTGTGGGTGCCATGAGCATGCACAGGCATGCTGCCCACCTGCCAGAATTGAGTGCATGATTGTTTGTGATCAGATCTGATTTGATGGGTGCATCTGGCAGAGTTGGGTGGGTTTCAGCCTGAGAGTGCACACTTAGCAGTGAGCTCTGTGTGGCCTTTGTATTGGAGACACACCCTCTTCGTTAGGAAGCTGCCGAGGAGGAAAGTCACGCCTGTGCCTGTTGGCTGAGTGGGGGCATGGGCACTCAGGCTGGCTCTGTTTTCCCTGCAGCATTTGAAGACATGCTAGAGAACCCGCTGAACAGCACCCAGTGGATGAATGATCCAGAAACGGGTCCCGTCATGCTGCAGATCTCTAGAATCTTCCAGACACTAAATCGCACGTAGGTGGCGCCGTCCCACTTGGCTGTCCGGCCACAGCAGCCCCCTGGCGCGGCCGGAGACTGGGCAGAGCGGACCTCACCTGAAACTCACCTTCGGCATCTCGGCCCTGGACTGTTAGAGGCGCCGCGGCTGCTCCCGCTCTCTGATCTTATTGCTTATAAACTTCGGTGACGGTCGTGTGTAAAGCCGTATTTTTAGCATCTGCCAGGTGTTTACAAAAAAGTGGTTGTCGTGCTGGGAAGTGGAGTGATGGCCTCCTCTCCAGTGCTCCTCTGGGCTCTTGAGTTGCTGCTTGAATTGCCCCGTAGACGTTTGCTTGAAGAGTCCACGTGTTATTTGACGGAGGTAGGTTTCAACCCAGAGTGTTAACGTCAAGCATGCTACTTTAGTCACTCACAGATGACTTTTCTTTAATAAAATCCCTTTTCCTATTTCCTATCTTGGTCTTTTCTTGGTGCCGCAGAAGCAGCCCATGCGTCCCTGGGAGTCTGCATCCCCATGGCTGTGTGCTCGCTGCTCCCACCCGTTTGGTGGGCAAAGCCTCGTGTTGTATTGGATTTAAGGGACTGGAGCTGAGCCCGTATTCCCGGGACACAGGTGCTGGGCCTGAGCACGGCAGCGCCTGCCTGCCTCTGGCCTCCTCCTTTTTTTTCATTTTAAAAAACTTTACCATTACCTGTGTCTTAAAGTGAGAAAATGAGTTTTGTTTGTTGTGAAGCCTGCTCGTTGTTGTTGGAAGCAGTCAGTTCCGAGCTGTTTGTTTTGAACTTCTCTTCTGAACCAGCCCCTCCTCTTCCCTTCCCCGCCCACTGGTGTGGGAACCTTAGCAGAGCTCTGGCTGCATTTTAGCTCAGTAAGAATGTTTTCAGAAAATGTTTCTCTTCACACGTCTAGGTCTCTTCATTGTTTTTGAGGTTTAGATTTAAAACTAAAGTTAGTTTAAACTCTTTGGGCAGAAATACTAAAAATGCTTTTCGAAAGTTGCGAATCTCACTTCTTTTTTTTTTTTTTTTTTTT